AAGTTTCTGAAATGATCGTTTGTTCTGTTTTTGTGTTTCAGAATCTTCCTGTTGGAGCGGAGCCTGTGGGAGCCCTGAACCTCTCCTACATCTCCATGGTCAGTCTGAGTCTGAAGGTCACTCACACTCAAGGTCACTGAAGGTCACTCTTAGCATGACCTCATCATACGAAAACTGACCTAATCATCATCATCATCATCACATCGAACACAAAGCTGCCGTTCAGACGCGGCGTCACGGCGGTCCAGTTTCGGAGCAGGATCTGTGTGGACGTGCGTCTGGGGCGTCCTGTGTTTTTGTGGCACATCGTCAGGCGTCAGCGCGGAGAGAATCTGACATCGATGCAGCTCGTCTTGAGTGTTCAGGTGTTCAGGCCAATGCGTCAGTGTCAAGTTGAAAAAACTGAACTTTTGGTGTTGGACACGCAGCGTCAACCAATCCAGAACGAGTATCCAGAGACGAAGCGACAGAAGAAGGAAGAGAAAAACCCGGGAGCCACAAACACCAGAACAAGAAATCTACACGAGTCATGAGTGGAGGATGAATATAAACACGCTGCAGTCGTCGAGACGATCGCCTCCACTGATGGTTTTATGTGATAAATACACTAAAGTAAAAAACAAGGCTCTCGGCGACTACAGCGACGCTCTGGACGCGTCAATATGACAAAGAAACACGTCAGAGACGCCTGAACACAAATACAAAGACTCCAACTAGAGGCTTTTTGACGCCGCGTCTGAACGCAGCAAAACTATTTCACTGTTCAAACGACTTGACTGAAATTTTACTCTTAAAAAAACAGAGGAAGTACTTCGTGGTCGTCCGCAGGGACACGCCCCCAGGACACGCCCCCAGGACACGCCCCCGTGACACACACTTCCCTCTACAGTTTGATTTTCTTAAAAGTTCATTGCGTAACTTTTTTGGTAGATGGTCCACACCCTATTGTTGTTTCCTGGAATGATGTTTAATTTAATTATCTCCATGGAGACAGGCAGAAATGACAAATTACAGGTCGGATCTGTGGAGAAGAGGGCCGCTCATGTTTATAATGCATGATTTTTAATCAGTAAAAAACAACAACCAGGGTCTAAACCAGGTCTAAACCAGGACTAAACCAGGTCTTAAACCAGGTTCTAAACCAGGACTAAACCAGGTAAACCAGGTCTAAAAGGAAAGTCTAAACCAGGGTCTAAACCAGGACTAAACCAGGACTAAACCAAAAGATTAAACCAGGACTATTTAAAATGTCTAAATGATAACAGAATGATCCGGGGGGTCAGAGGTCAAACTACAGAGACACAAACACATCATGTCTTATTTCTTTTTCAGGTGAGTGATGCCACCAAACTGCGCCCGAAAGCCGAGTTCTGTTTCGGTGAGTTTTCCTCCACTTCCCGTGTTTACTTCCTGCTTCCTCCCTGCCTTCCTGCTGTACTTCCTGGTTCGTTCCGCTCTTTTTGTCCCTCCTGGCTTGTTGTAGCGTTGCGTCCGGTTGTTTGTGCGTCTCAGAGGAAGTTGTACAGTGACCTGAGTTCACACACACGCACTTTATTGTGTCGAAGCTTCAGCCGTTTCCTCTGAATCTGACTTAAGCGCGTCCAAACCGCCGCACCACACGGCCAACGCTGAACGCTGAACGCCGAACGCCGAACGCCGAACGCCGAACGCTGAACGCCGTCTGACGTTTCACCACACGAGCTCCCGACGCACGAGCTCCGGCGGCGTTCCCGACAGACAGAAATACAAGCTTGATTTTGACTAAAAAGGTCTAAACTAGGATTAAACCAGGTCAACACAGGTCAAAACCAGGACTTAAAACCAGGACTAAACCAGTCTAAACCACCTAAACCAGGACTAAAAGAAACCAGGACTAAACAGGTAAACCAGGTCTAAACCAGGTCTAAACCAGGACTAAACTAAACCAGGACTAAACAGGACTAAACAAAGTATAAACCAGGTCTAAACCAGGACTAAACCAGGTCCAGTTCCAGGACTAAACTAAACCAGGACTAAAAGAGGTCTAAACCAGGACCAGGACTAAACCAGTCTAAACCAGGACTAAACCAGAGTATCTAAACCAGGACTAAAACTAAACCAGTAAATAAACTAAAAACAGGTAAACTAAACCAGGACTAAACTAAACCAGGACTAAACCAGGTCAAAACCAGGTCTAAACCAGGACTAAACTCTAAACCAGGTAAACCAGGTAAACCAGGTCTAAATCAGTCTCTTTGATTTGTTACACTTAACCAATCATAGAGATGAGGTTTCGATGAGGCTGGTTTTGACCAATCAGATCGCGTCACTGCAACATTTCCTGTTTCTTACTGAGTCAGATCGGTTCATTTTGGATCGATTGCTTCTGCCTCGGCATCTTGGATCTTCACTGTGAATTTTCTTCACTGTGAATTTTGACTCTTGAATTTGAAGGCTTGAAAATATTTGTGCTGAATATTTAAAATGTGATTTTTTTTTATATATTGAATGTTATACACTGAAAATGTACACTTAAAATTTCAGCAAACAAAAATTAATAATAAAAATAATTAAATAATTAAATCAAAGTGAGAAATTCAACATTTGATGAAACAAATTATCTTCCATATAAACATCGCTGAACAGGAATGTGCAAAAATATTGAAATATCATTATATGGTATCGTTTAAATTGATGATACAGTATCGATATCGTGGGCTGCTGTGTCGATACTTTGCCAAGAGGATTTTTTTTCTTATATTTTACTAAATTATTTTGTGAAAAGCTCAGTAAATGTTCTCGTTTCAGTGATAAACGCTGGAATGAGGAAGTTTTACCTTCAGGCCAACGACCAGCAGGACCTGGTGGAGTGGATCTCTGTCCTCAACAACGCAACCAAAATCACTGTGAGTCTCAGAACGGGCTAGACCACCAGGACTAGACCAGACCAGGACTAGACCAGGACTAGACCCAGGACTACACCAGGACTGACAAGGACTGACACCAGGACTACAGGACTTAGGACCAGGACTAGACCAGGACTGGACACCGGGACTGACACCGGACTAGACCAGGACTACACCAGGACTGAACCAGGACTGAACCAGGACTGAACCGGGACTAACGACCAGGAACTGAACCGGACTAGACCAGGACTAGGACCAGGACTAGACACTAGGACTAGACCGGACTAGACTAGACAGGACTACCCAGGACTGGACCAGGACTAGACCAGGACTACAGGACTAACCGGGACTAGACCAGGTCTGACCAGGACAGGACCACGGGACTAACCAGGACTGACCAGGACTGACACCAGGACTGAACCGGGACTAGACCAGGAACCGGACTGAACCAGGACTAGACCGGACTGGACTAGACAGGACCTTAGACCAGGACTAGGACTAGACCAGGACTAGACCAGGACTGAACGGGACTAGACCAGGACTAGACCAGGACTAACACCAGACTAGAAGCTGGACTAGACTGAAGACTGGACCAGGACTAGACCAGGGACCCAGTGACAGAGACAGGACCCAGGACTGAACCGGGTAGGACCAGGGTGCTAAGCAGGATGGACCCAGACTAAAACAGACTAAATGGACCCTAACCAGGACAGACCCCTACTCAAGACTTAAACGGACTCGAACAGGACTGAACCAGGACTAGACCAGTGACACTCTGCGAACTTCACTCGAACCAGTGACCTAACTGGGACTACACAGCACTGGCGTCGTAAACCGGCGCCGTGACAGACTCAGGAGCGTTCGAAACCAGGACTTAAACCGAAGTACTAGATCAGGACGTCACAATCGTATAGTACTCTTCATACACCTCTCCCTGTTGACGCTGTTTTATTACTCGTAAGTCTCCTTCCTCTCACTGTTGCAAGTATTCCTTCTAGTCCAAGTTGGTCTAGTCCCGGTTCAGTCCTGGTCTAGTCCCAGTTCAGTCCTGGTCTAGTCCCGGTTCAGTCCTGGTCTAGTCCTGGTCCAGTCCTGGTTCAGACCCGGTCTAGTCCCGGTTCAGTCCTGGTCTAGTCCTGGTCCAGTCCTGGTTCAGACCTGGTCTAGTCCCGGTTCAGTCCTGGTCTAGTCCTGGTCCAGTCCTGGTTCAGACCTGGTCTAGTCCCGGTTCAGTCCTGGTCTAGTCCTTGTCCAGTCCTGGTCTAGTCCTGGTCTAGTCCTGGTCTAGTCCCGGTTCAGTCCTGGTGTAGTCCTGGTCTAGTCCTGGTCTAGTCCCGGTTCAGTCCTGGTGTAGTCCTGCTTTAGCCCTGGTCTAGTCCTGGTCTAGTCCCGGTTCAGTCCTGGTCTAGTCCCGGTTCAGTCCCGGTTCAGTCCCGGTTCAGTCCTGGTCCAGTCCTGGTCTAGTCCTGGTCTAGTCCCGGTTCAGTCCTGGTCTAGTCCTGGTCTAGTCCTTGTCCAGTCCTGGTCTAGTCCTGGTCTAGTCCCGGTTCAGTCCTGGTCTAGTCCTGGTCTAGTCCTGGTCCAGTCCTGGTCTAGTTCCGGTTCAGTCCCGGTTCAGTCCTGGTTCAGTCCTGGTGTAGTCCTGGTCTAGTCCTGGTGTAGTCCCGGTTCAGTCCTGGTCTAGTCCTGGTCTAGTCCCGGTTCAGTCCTGGTTCAGTCCCGGTTCAGTCTTGGTGTAGTCCTGGTTCAGTCCTGGTCTAGTCCTGGTCTAGTCCCGGTTCAGTCCTGGTTTAGTCCTGGTCTAGTCCCGGTTCTGAGACTCACAGTGATTTTGGTTGCGTTGTTGAGGACAGAGATCCACTCCACCAGGTCCTGCTGGTCGTTGGCCTGAAGGTAAAACTTCCTCATTCCAGCGTTTATCACTGAAACGGCACAGAACATTTACTGAGCTTTTCACAAAATAATTTAGTAAAATATAAGAAAAAAAATCCTCTTGGCAAAGTATCGACACAGCAGCCCACGATATCGATACTGTATCATCAATTTAAACGATACCATATAATGATATTTCAATATTTTTGCACATTCCTATTCAGCGATGTTTATATGGAAGATAATTTGTTTCATCAAATGTTGAATTTCTCACTTTGATTTAATTATTTAATTATTTTTATTATTAATTTTTGTTTGCTGAAATTTTAAGTGTACATTTTCAGTGTATAACATTCAATATATAAAAAAAAAAATCACATTTTAAATATTCAGCACAAATATTTTCAAGCCTTCAAATTCAAGAGTCAAAATTCAGAGTGTAAAATTCACAGCGAAGAAAATTCACAGTGAAGATCCAAGATGCCGAGGCAGAAGCAATCGATCCAAAATGAACCGATCTGACTCAGTAAGAAACAGGAAATGTTGCAGTGACGCGATCTGATTGGTCAAAACCAGCCTCATCGAAACCTCATCTCTTTGATTGGTTAAGTGTAACAAATCAAAGAGACTGATTTAGACCTGGTTTAGACCTGGTTTAGACCTGGTTTAGACCTGGTTTAGACTTTGTTTAGTCCTGGTTTAGTCCTGGTTTAGACCTGGTTTAGACCTGGTTTAGTCCTGGTTTAGACCTCTTTTAGTCCTGGTTTAGACCTGGTTTAGTCCTGGTTTAGACTTTGTTTAGTCCTGGTTTAGACTTTGTTTAGTCCTGGTTTAGACCTGGTTTAGACTTTGTTTAGTCCTGGTTTAGACCTGGTTTAGACTTTGTTTAGTCCTGGTTTAGACCTGGTTTAGACCTGGTTTAGTCCCTGGTTTAGACCTGGTTTAGTCCGGGTTTAGACCTGGTTTAGTCCTGGTTTAGACCACTTTTAGTCCTGGTTTAGACCTGGTTTAGACCTCTTTTAGTCCTGGTTTAGACCTGGTTTAGTCCTGGTTTAGACCTGGTTTATACTTTGTTTAGTCCTGGTTTAGTCCTGGTTTAGACCTGGTTTAGACCTGGTTTAGACCTGGTTTAGACCTGGTTTAGACTTTGTTTAGTCCTGGTTTAGTCCTGGTTTAGACCTGGTTTAGACCTGGTTTAGTCCTGGTTTAGACCTGGTTTAGTCCTGGTTTAGACCTCTTTTAGTCCTGGTTTAGACCTGGTTTAGTCCTGGTTTAGACTTTGTTTAGTCCTGGTTTAGACCTGGTTTAGACTTTGTTTAGTCCTGGTTTAGTCCTGGTTTAGACTTTGTTTAGTCCTGGTTTAGACCTGGTTTAGTTTAGTCCTGGTTTAGACCTGGTTTAGACCTGGTTTAGTCCTGGTTTAGACCTGGTTTAGTCCGGGTTTAGACCTGGTTTAGTCCTGGTTTAGACCACTTTTAGTCCTGGTTTAGACCTGGTTTAGACCTCTTTTAGTCCTGGTTTAGACCTGGTTTAGTCCTGGTTTAGACCTGGTTTATACTTTGTTTAGTCCTGGTTTAGTCCTGGTTTAGACCTGTGTTTGGACCTGGTTTAGACCTGGTTTAATCCTAGTTTAGACCTTTTTAGTCAAAATCAAGCTTGTATTTCTGTCTGTCGGGAACGCCGCCGGAGCTCGTGCGTCGGGAGCTTGTGTGGTGAAACGTCAGACGGCGTTCAGCGTTCGGCGTTCGGCGTTCGGCGTTCGGCGTTCGGCGTTCGGCGTTCGGCGTTCGGCGTTCGGCGTTCGGCGTTCGGCGTTCAGCGTTCGCCGTGTGGTGCGGCGGTTTGGACGCGCTTAAGTCAGATTCAGAGGAAACGGCTGAAGCTTCGACACAATAAAGTGCGTGTGTGTGAACTCAGGTCACTGTACAACTTCCTCTGAGACGCACAAACAACCGGACGCGACGCTACAACAAGCCAGGAGGGACAAAAGAGCGGAACGAACCAGGAAGTACAGCAGGAAGGCAGGGAGGAAGCAGGAAGTAAACACGGGAAGTGGAGGAAAACTCACCGAAACAGAACTCGGCTTTCGGGCGCAGTTTGGTGGCATCACTCACCTGAAAAAGAAATAAGACATGATGTGTTTGTGTCTCTGTAGTTTGACCTCTGACCCCCCGGATCATTCTGTTATCATTTAGACATTTTAAATTGTCCTGGTTTAGATCTTTTTTAGTCCTGGTTTAGTCCTGGTTTAGACCTGGTTTAGACCTGGTTTTTAGACCTGTTTTTAGACCTGGTTTAGACCTGGTTTAGTCCTGGTTTAGACCTGGTTTAATCCTGGTTTATACCTTGTTGTTTTTACTGATTAAAAATCATGCATTATAAACATGAGCGGCCCTCTTCTCCACAGATCCGACCTGTAATTTGTCATTTCTGCCTGTCTCCATGGAGATAATTAAATTAAACATCATTCCAGGAAACAACAATAGGGTGCGGACCATCTACCAAAAAAGTTACGCAATGAACTTTTAAGAAAATCAAACTGTAGAGGGAAGTGTGTGTCACGGGGGCGTGTCCTGGGGGCGTGTCCTGGGGGCGTGTCCCTGCGGACGACCACGAAGTACTTCCTCTGTTTTTTTAAGAGTAAAATTTCAGTCAAGTCGTTTGAACAGTGAAATAGTTTTGCTGCGTTCAGACGCGGCGTCAAAAAGCCTCTAGTTGGAGTCTTTGTATTTGCGTCTCTGACGTGTTTCTTTGTCATATTGACGCGTCCAGAGCGTCGCTGTGGTCACCGAGAGCCTTGTTTTTTACTTTAGTGTATTTATCACATAAAACCATCAGTGGAGGCGATCGTCTCGACGACTGCAGCGTGTTTATATTCATCCTCCACTCATGACTCGTGTAGATTTCTTGTTCTGTTTGTGGCTCCCGGGTTTTTCTCTTCCTTCTTCTGTCGCTTCGTCTCTGGATACTCGTTCTGGATTGGTTGACGCTGCGTGTCCAACACCAAAAGTTCAGTTTTTTCAACTTGACACTGACGCATTGGCCTGAACACCTGAACACTCAAGACGAGCTGCATCGATGTCAGATTCTCTCCGCGCTGACGCCTGACGATGTGCCTCAAAAACACAGGACGCCCCAGACGCACGTCCACACAGATCCTGCTCCGAAACTGGACGCCGTGACGCCGCCGTCTGAACGCAGCTTTAGTCCAGTTCGATGTGATGATGATGATGATGATGATGATTAGGTCAGTTTTCGTATGATGAGGTCATGCTAAGAGTGACCTTCAGTGACCTTGAGTGACCTTCAGACTCAGACTGACCATGGAGATGTAGGAGAGGTTCAGGGCTCCCACAGGCTCCGCTCCAACAGGAAGATTCTGAAACACAAAAAACAGAACAAACGATCATTTCAGAAACTTTAAAAGGTTTAACTAGAGTCACTAAATATGAACGAACGAACAACGAAAGAAACGAGAGAAGAAGGTTTAGAGAAAAGATCTGGGTTTTTCAGGAATTATGATTCATACCACAGAACTGGAAGTAGTAACACTGGTAGTAGTATTTAGTAGTAGTAGTAGTAAAAGTATTAGTACCTGTGGATTATTCATGTACTAAAGCAATGGCTGCAGTTGTAGTAGTAGTAGTAGTAGTAGTAGTAGTAGTGGTCAGTGTTGGGAGGTCACTTTTAAAATGTAATCCCCTACAGATTACAGATTACACACACCAAAATGTAGTTTGTAACATAATCCACTTGAATTACTTAAAGTGAGTAATGTAATCTGATTACTTTAGATTACTTGATTTGCTGTAAAGAAGCGAAGACGAGGAAATCTTTGGTTTAACCAGATTAAAAATATTATTGATAGAAAACGAAGAAACACGTCCACACAGCAGGATTTAGTCCTGTTCAATCCTGGTTTAGACCTGGTTTAGTCCTGGTTTAGTTTCCTGGTTTAGACCTGGTTTAGTCCTGGTTTAGTCCTGGTTTAGACCTGGTTTAGACCTGGTTTAGTCCTGGTTTAGTCCTGGTTTAGACCTGGTTTAGTCCTGGTTTAGACCTGGTTTAGTCCTGGTTTAGACCTGGTTTAGTCCTGGTTTAGTCCTGGTTTAGTCCTGGTTTAGACCTGGTTTAGTCCTGGTTTAGTTTTCGGCAATGGATGGAATTACGGGGGAAAAAAAGAAGAAGGGATACAGCCCAAAATGTATTCAAAAGTATTAGTACCTGGGGGTTGTCCATGTACCAGAGCAGTTTTCCCTGCGCTGGGTCCAGGAGGAAGTATCTCCTGTAGAAGCGTCCGCTCTGCTCCTGCTCCTCCACGTCCAGGAAACCACAGATCCTGTTCAGACGATCCACGTACGGCATCTTCACACCCAGGAACGAGACCAGAGAGGAGAGAAGAACCAGGACCAGGACCAGGACCAGGACCAGGACCAGGAGAGGAAAAAAAGTACCAGGAGAGGAGAGAAGGAGAGAGGAGAGAAGAGAAGATTAGAGAGAGACCAGGGAGGAGAGAGGAAAGGAGGAGAGACCCAGGAAACCAGGAGAGGGAGGGGAGAGCAGGTCTGGTCCTAGTCCCTGGTCAGGTTCTGGTTGAGCCCGAAGAGGAGCAGATCCAGGAGAGAGACCGGAGAGGAAAAGATCCGCTCTGATCCTGGTTCTTGTTCAGGTTCTTGTTCTGGTTCTGGTCTGGTTCTGGTCTGGTTCTGGTCTGGTTCTGGTCTGGTTCTGGTCTGGTTCTGGTCGAGCCCGGTGAGGAGAGACCCCGCCTGGGGCCCCACGCTGGAGAAACTGGGGAGAAGAAGGAGAAGTTAAAAAAGCAGCAGCAAAATGATGAAGATTTTAAACAATAAACTGTTGACGTGATGAGCTCAGTGTCGAACCCTCGAGTTTAAAGATCAAACCTCCTGAAGATTTACTCCTCTGAGCAAAACCTGAAAAACCCCTGAAAAACCCCCAGAGCCGACGAGCGGGTGGGGGGGGGCAGGGTGGGACGATGATTAACAGCTGAGCCTGCTTTAGTCCTGGTTTAGATCCTGTTTTAGTCCTGGTTTAGACCCGTTTTAGTCCTGGTTTAGACCCGTTTTAGTCCTGGTTTAGATCCTGTTTTAGTCCTGGTTTAGACCCGGTTTCAGTCCCGGTTTAGACCCAGTTTCAGTCCTGGTTTGGATCCTGTTTCAGTCCTGGTTAAGACCCTTTTAGTCCTGGTTTAGATTCTGGTTTAGACCCGGTTTCAGTCCCGGTTTAGACCTTGTTTCAGTCCCGGTTTAGACCCTGTTTCAGTCCCAGTTTAGACCCTTGTTTCAGTCCTGGTTTAGACCTTGTTTCAGTCCCAGTTTAGACCTTGTTTCAGTCCCGGTTTAGACCTTGTTTCAGTCCCGGTTTAGACCTTGTTTCAGTCCCGGTTTAGACCTTGTTTCAGTCCCGGTTTAGACCTTGTTTCAGTCCCGGTTTAGACCTTGTTTCAGTCCCGGTTTAGACCTTGTTTCAGTCCCGGTTTAGACCTTGTTTCAGTCCCGGTTTAGACCTTGTTTCAGTCCCGGTTTAGACCTTGTTTCAGTCCCGGTTTAGACCTTTAGACCTTGTTTCAGTCCCGGTTTAGACCTTGTTTCAGTCCTGGTTTTAATCAGGGGCGAGGTACACACTTCTGTTTTGGACCCATTTACACAGAGAATCAGGAGAAAAAAGTGTTTTTGGTGTTTAGTGGCCTGTTCACCTGAGCTGAGACAGGAGTGCTCAGGTGTGACAGGTGTGACAGGTGTGACAGGAGTGCAGGTGCGACAGGAGTGCTCAGGTGTGACAGGTGCGACAGGTGTGTGACAGGAGTGCTCAGGTGTGACAGGTGAGAGCGTCCAGGTGCAGTTTGCCGCCGTGTACCTGTCAGAACTCTTCCATCTTAAGTTTGTATCTTAAATAAACAGATCTTTAACGTGACGCGTCTGTGGAGCCGATTCCAAACAAACAAACACACGTCAACATCTGTCAATCAAACCTGGAGATTCTGTCCTGAGACAGAATGATGTCCATATGACATCAACAGATTCTAAAACATGAACACGAACAGAATAAAAAAAAAATACACATTTAGATTTGTAATTTCTGCAAAACTCATCCAAGAATCCCACATGTTTCAGAAGATATTTGCAGAGCTTTAAACTTCAGGGGCAGATGTTTTTACACAGATGGAGACAAATGTCTCTGATCTGGTCAAGATTGGAAAACTTTTATCAGATTCTTTGTCGTTTTCAGATTTATGATCTACTTATTAGTGTTGTAGTCAAGACCGAACTAATCGAGACCACGACCAGTCCAAGACCACAGGGTCCCAAAACCAGGACAAGACTAAGACCAAGACAAGACCAAGACCGAGACCACAGCCCATCGAGACCAAATCAAGACCATCTTTGTCATTTTCTACATTTATTTGTATTTTAGTTATTTGGCACATTTATATCAATGTTTTTTGTTTTGTTTTTTTAAATAAATCTATCTCCATTTGATCTGATAAATGTTTATTTAAGCTTCTGCACTGAAAAACTCTACGCTGTTTTTTTGGGCCCTGATCCACAGTTTGAGAAGCTCTTCTTTAAGACAACTTCCTCTGACACTTTACACAAAACTGAACAAAGTGAAGAAAGTGGGGAGGATTTTTAAACCTGTTTTAGCAAGTTTCTAACTGGAGTCAGACCTCGAGTCCGACAAGAACAAGTCCATGCGCCTGCAAGACCGAGACAAGATCGAGTCCAAACACAATTGAGTCCGAGACAAGACCAAGACGGTAAAAAAACGGTCTTTAGGCCAAGTTTGGTCTCGAGTATGAAGACACTACTCACTAGCTCTGAATTGGTTGTATAATCACATTTCCTCAATGACTCAACTCATCAAAAAATCTCAAATTTAGGCAATAAATGTTTAAAGAAGCTACAATCCATTTACCAGAGTTTCCCCTGAAAAACTTCACCTGTTTTTAGATTCAGTGACACTCGATTACAGATTTACTCGATACAAGACTGATGACGAACTACAATCATGTCAAACTGATTTCAAACACTTATATCGAGAATTTAGCATCTTTGAATTTATTATCAGGCCAAGAACACTGATCCTAAACTGGTTTTAAGTCTGTTTATCTCAAACCGAACCTCCATAAATGTATTTAAAGTCCTTTAACACTGAGCACCGACACTTCACTCTCGTCTAGAGGTCGTTTATTTTAAGAGATTTTAAAATTATCTTGTGGCACTTAAGTCATTTCCTGATAGATATAAGTGTTTATATTTTAACATTTGGCCAAGTTTTTGCAGTGCAGGGAGGGCATCTTAGACAGCAGCTTTTACACAGAATAAAACCAAATTGTGACACGGGGGGCAGAGTGAGCAGTCGTCCCTGTTTCCTCGGGACAGTCACAGTGTTGAGCCTGTGTCTCTTGTCCCAGCAGATTTATACAAAACCACTGAGTAGTTTTATACAAGAAATGTCCCAAATGTCCCTATTTTTGACCAATCTGATCTAAACCAGGACTAAATTAAGATTAAACCAGAATGACATCAGGTCTAAACCAGGACTATCACAGTTTTTGATTAATCTGATCCTGCCAACAGTAAAAAGGAGCATAAATTCTTCATTTGTTTTGCCAAAAATCGGAAAAATGAGTTTGTGAATGAAAATAAGTTCCTCAGATCATGAGAAAGCACAATGTTCCCACAATGTTCCCACAATGTTCCACGCTCTCTTCACTGTTTCAAAACCCACGTGTTCCAGGTTAGAATTTAGAAAATCTGGTCACACTACAGGGAGGGCATCTGACACATTTATCTCTCACACTGATCATATTGATGAGTGTTTTGTTCCTTCGTTTACGGCTCCGGCTCTGGTCGTGTGAGTCTTCGTCACGTGTCGTTTGTTTGAGTGGAACATTTTTCAGGCGTGGCCCAAACAGCTGAGCTCATGACTGCGCCAAAATAAACGACTGAAGAATAATCACATTATGTCACATTACACAATAAACACACACTGATACTGGGGTGTTCTACATGTGTGTCTATGGCGGAACGGTCAGCAGTTACCATGGTGACGTCCCTGTTTACCCGAGACAGTCCCAGTTTAAAGCCCCGTGTCTTCTGTCCCAGCGGATTTATACAAAACTAGAGTCACCAGAAATTCAAAATAAAAAACTTCCGAGTTCACACAGTCATGGAAATCCTGGAAAGTCAAGGAAATTGAAAATGTCATTTTTCAGGCCTGGAAAAGTCAGGGAATTTTATAAATGCAGTGAAAGTTTTGGAAAAGTGATGGAATTTTTTGTCTCTCTTTGAGTTCTCATTAGACTATTCTGATTATTTGTGAACGTCTGAGTCTTTTGTTTAAAAGAGACGACAATAAAAGCACTGACAGGATTTAAAATGTTTAAAAACTATAATCCCAAACCATAAGGTGAGTGGAAAGAGTTCACATTTCAGATTTAGACCTAAAAGTCTGATCAGTTCTACACATGGAGGTGCTGTAAAGTCATGGAAAATTCACTTTAGCGCATGAAAAAGTCATGGAAAAATTTTGAAATTTGTAAACTGGGACATCCCCGGTTTTGTGGTGGTTGGTAAGAATGTGAAACTAGTGCGTAATTAAGGAAAATTGTTACTCACTCAGCCCATTAACGACGAAAATGAGTCAGTATATTCACATTTTCTTTGTGTTTTGGTCGTTTTTAAGCAGCTTTTCTGTATTTTACCTAAACAAATGTCAGTTTCTGTTTCTCTTTACTGTTGTCAGGATCAGGTTGGTCAAAAATAGAGACACTGGGACTGTCCCGGGTAAACGAGGACGTCTGGTCACCTTATACAAAACCGGTGATTTGTTCCAATTTTATACAAAAAATGTCCCAGGTGTCTCTATTTTTAACTAAACTGATCCCAGTAACAGTAAAGAGAAACATAAACTGACATTTGTTCAGGTAAAATACAGAAAAGCTGCTTAAAAAACGACCAAAACACAAAGAAAATGTGAATATACTGACTCATGTTCCTCATGAATGGGCTGAGTGCAGAAGAGTTTTCCTTTTTTTTTTTTTATTTCACAATTTTATTATTACCAACCACAAAAAAAAACAAAAAACAAAAGAAAAAAAAAACAACAAAAAAAAAAAACGGGGATGTCCCAGTTTTTTATTTTGAATTTCTGGTGACTCTAGTTTTGTATAAATCCACTGGGACAGAAGACACGGGGCTTTAAACTTGGACTGTCTCGGGTAAACAGGGACGTCACCATGGTAACTGCTGACCGTTCCGCCATAGACATACATGTAGAACACCCCGGTATCAGTGTGTGTTTATGCTGTAATGTGACGTAATGTGATTGTTCTTCAGTGGTTTATTTTCCTGCGTTGATGAGCTCAGCTGTTTGGGCCACGCCTGAAAAATGTTCCACTCAAACAAACGACACGTGAAAAAGACGCGGCCCAGTTTATTTATTTTGGAAAATCTGATGACGCTAACGGAGACACAAAAGTCTGAAAAACTAAAATACAAAAAAGATTTAAAGAGCGAGTTTTCAGGAGTTTCAGGATTTTCAACTAAAAGATGAAAATGAAAGAAATGTTGGCAAACAGGGGTGTGCAAAAATCTCAAAATATTGAAATATCGCACCGTTTAATGTGATGATACAGTGTCGATATCTTGGGCTGCTCTATCGATACATCACCAAGAGGATTTTTTGTTTATTTTACTCAATTATTTAGTTCCAGCTACAGTTTTGTTGCTTATTTAGAGGAAGAAAACTTGTTTTTGTGACACATTTGACATTTTCTCTGTTTTGATGATTAAAATGTTTGTTTCATATTAACTTTGCGCAAGACATGGTTTAACAAAGACTTTTAGTATCACAGACATGATTTAGACTTTATTTTTTTAATAAACCGTATCTAATCGATGTGAAATATATCGTATCATATCGAAAGTGCACTGTATCGTATCGTGGCCTGTGTACCGAGGTGTGTATCGTATCGGCAACTTCTTAATGATACTGGTAGATAAAGATCTGCACATTCAACAAAAACTGCGACTGTGTGTTGGGTCCAAAAATAGTACAAAAAAAGGAAAGAGATCCGCACTGAAGTTCTTTGAAGCTCCCAAATTTTTATTTCAGTGACACCACAAAGTGACGTTTTGGGCCGAGTGCTTCATCAGACTGAAGCGTCACTTTGTGACTTTGTTTTGCCACTGAAATAAAAACCTGGGAGCTTCAAAAAAACTGCAGTGTGGATCTCTTTCCTTTTTCTGAACTTCTTAATGAAACTTAACCCTACTGGCTAATGCTAATGCTAAATGTAATTTTATTATGATTATTTTGTTTGTGATTTTTAAAAACGATTTTAGCATGAATTAAATTTATCTCTTAATCTGTAATGCACTTTAAATTATTTTGTGTACAAATTGTGCTGTACAAATAAACCTGCCTTGCTAATGCTAATGCTAATACTAGTGCTAATGCTAATGCTAGTGCTAGTTTGTGTGAAGTGTTTTTAAAGCGACTTGTTGAACCTAAATCAGTTGTTTGTGTTAAAATAAAGATGAGTTTGAAGTTTATCAAAGCCTCAGACAGAGCAGTGCCCTCAGCTAGCGTCTGAACCTCAGAGAAGGTTGTTGACGTGAGCTGAACTGTAGAAATCGTTGGTTTTGTGGCTCAGAGTCTCAGAGTGAAAGTTGAAGTTTGGTCCAAACCTCAGGAGGAAGTTCTATTGTTGAACTTCAACTGTAAAAAGATCAGGTGACTCCAAACGCCACGGGACAATACAACAAGTACTACACAAGTACTACACAAGTACTACACAAGTACTACACAAGTACTACAAGTACTACAAGTACTACACAAGTACTACACAAGTACTACAAGTACTACAAGTACTACACAAGTACTACAAGTACTACACAAGTACTGCACAAGTACTACAAGTACTGCACAAGTACTGCATAAGTACTGCATAAGTACTGCCTAAGTACTGCTGTCACCAGTGCAGGAGGACTGCAAGCAGTAGAAGTAGTAGTAGTGGTAGTAGTAGTAGTAGTAGTAATAATAGAGGTAGGCTAGTTGAAGTAGTAGTATCAGTAGTAGCACCTATAGATTTCCATGTACCAGAGCACTGATTGTAGTAATAGCAGCAGCAGTAGTAGTACTAGTAGTAGTAGTACTAGTTGTTTAGTTGTAATAGTAGTATGTTGTGGTAGTAGTAGTAGTAGTACTGGTAGTAGTAGTACCCCCTGTGTGTTATCTATGCATTAGGGCATTAATTGTTGTAATAGGGTAGTAATAGTATTTAGTGATGATAGTAGTAGTAGCAGCAACAGCAACAGTAGTAGTAGTAGTAGTAGTATTAGTAGCAGCGGTAGTAACAGTAGCATTTGGTAGTAGAGTGTTAGTAGTAGTAACAGTAGTAACAGTAGTAGTAGTAGTAGTAGTAGTAGTAGTAGTAGTAGTAGAAGAGGTAGTCTAGTTGTAGTAGTAGTAGTATCAGTAGTCCCACCCATGGGCTATCCATGTAGTAGTAGTAATAGTAGTAGTATTTGCTGGTAGTAGTAGTAGTAGTAGTAGTAGTAGTTTTTTTTAGTATCCACACCTGCTCAAATGAGGATCTAGTTTCGATGTGAGTTTTAATATTGATTATTGATTTGACCCAGTGCGTTTGACTCAGACTCAGGTGTTGTTTTTGTTGTCGTCGTGTATAATTACGATCACATGACTCCCATAAATCACAGACTCGTTAGTGTCATTACTTCAAAATGAGAGTTCACAGTCTGTTTTGTGTCTGACTCACATGACACACGATTATTATCATGAATATTCAGCCGTTCACACCAGATCACAGAAAATATCACAATAATCAGTATGGGGAAAATGTAAAGATGTGGTACGAATAAAAGTCTACATCTGACAGAAAATAAAATACACACAGATTAAAATAAAAGTGACATAACTGTTTGTCTTAAGTCCAAGTCAGAGGAAGTCAGTGGTAGAGTAGCCAAAGACTGTACAAGTACTTCAAAATAATATTACTCAAGTTGAAGTACAAAGTAGTGGTTCAAAATATACTTAAGTAAGAGTAAAAAGTATTTGGAAAAAAATTACAACTCAAGTCAGAATAACTTAAAGATACAGTGACCAGATTTTCAGAATTCTAAATTGGGACACACTCGGGTTTGGATGTTTGGTGTAAATAAAACCGTGAAAAGAACGAGGAACATTGTGCATTCTCAGGTCAGTCAGAATCTGAAGGGCGAATACTTTTACTACTACTACTACTACACTACTACTACTACTACTACTGATAATAATAATAATAATAATAATAATAATAATAATAATAATAATAATAATAATAATAATAATAATAATACTGATAATAATACATCAGACTCATATAAAGTTTTTTTTTGCACTCAAAGACGCTTTACAAACAAAACTGTCACTGCATTTTTATTTATTTTTTGATTAGTCAAAAACTGTGATAGTTCTGATTTAGACCTGATGTAGTCCTGGTTTATTCCTGGTTTAGTCCTGGTTTAGTCCTGGTTTAGTCCTGGTTTAGTCTTCGTTTAGTCCTGGTTTAGGTCAAACTGGTCAAAAATAGGGACACCTGGGACATTTCTTGTATAAAACTGGGATAAATCACAGAAACACTTTGTCACTTTAGACTCACTCACAGCGGGAAGAGGAAGCACAACTTTTACTCAAGTAAGAGTACAGTTACTGTTACTCAAGTAAAAATATGCTGCTAGAAAAGTACAATTTATTTTAAAAGTGCATAAATGTAACTACGTCCTCTGGTCCTGGTTCAGTTTTGTTTTGGTCTCGGTTTTGTCCTTGTTCCCATAAAACTACGAACCAAAAGTTTAAGCTCTAAAAAACACAAAACATAAACCTCCCAGACCACAACAAGTTTATTTACAAAGAACTTTAAAACTTTACGGCTGAACAATGTGCATTTAGGCACCTGTCACCTGTCACCTGTCACCTGTCACCTGTCACTCAGGTTGGTCTAGATTCATGTAAACGGCACAGATCTAAAGGAAATCCCCTCCAACAGTAAAACAAGTGACTTAAACTCAAAGCTCAATCTTAAATTAAAGCTGCTCTGTGTAACTTTTCCTGGTGAAGCTCTGCCAGAAGTGTTCCACAGTACGGCATTAACTTGTCTATCAGTTTCCATAGACACTCGAGAAGCAGGTGACAACCAGACCGAGTTACAGGTCAGATCTGTGGAATTTCAACATCTTTCTGAGCAAAAAAGAAAAAAAAACGTGTGAGTGAAACCAACGCAGGGCAGAGGAGTTTAATGCCATAGTGTGGAACATTAAGGCCAAAGCAATCCACTGAGACATGATTTAACACTGTTTAACCTTTATTTAACACTGTCAGATAGTTAACTTTACACTAAAACTATTATAACATATATTTAACACTGACAGACTTTAATATCAGGGTACATCTATTTAACACTGTCTGTTAGTTAACTTTACACTATCAAGGGAAACCTATTATAACACCTATTTAACACTGTCAGGGAGTTATAACACCTATTTAACACAGGCAAAATTAACTTTACACTATCGACGTACGTCTATTTTAAGTTTTTCCACTTTACAGATCATTATTCATCTGCTCCATATTTAACACTGTCAGATAGTTAACTTTACACTATCAGAGTGCATCTACTTTAAGGTTTTATTTATATCGCTCTTTTCACAGACACACGTATGTCACAAAGACGCTTTTCACATCATTATTCATCCGCTCCATATTTAACACTGTCAGATAGTTAATTTGACACTACCAGAGTAACGTATTATAACATCTATTTAAAACTGTCCGAGAGTTAATCTTACACTACATGGGTAACCTATTACAACATCTATTTCACTCTGTCAAATAGTTAAAATTACACTATCAGAGCAACCTATTATAACTCTGAATTTCAACATCTTTCTGAGCAAAAAAGAAAAAAAAAAAATGTGTGAGTGAAACCACGCGGGGCAGAGGAGTTTAATGCCATAGTGTGGAACATTTAACACTGTTTAACCTTTATTTAACACGGTCAGAGTTAACTTTACACTATCAGAGTGCGTCTACTTTAAGGTTTTATTTATATCGCTCTTTTCACAGACACACACTATGTCACAAAGACGCTTTTCACATCATTATTCATCCGCTCCATATTTAACACTGTCAGATAGTTAATTTGACACGACCAGGGAAACTCGGTGGAAATAAGCGCATTTAACCCACAGAAGTGTCCGTTTGCGTTGGCCGCGCTGTCACTGGCCCTGCACCTGTACTGTTCGTGTTTTGCGCTAAATTCGCGTCTTAGTTTCCCGTAAACGAGCCGAAACAGCGCGGATTCTGCGTCGGACGGGACATTTTTCTCGGTTAATGAGTAATTCGTGCACCACCGTATCGCCCCGGGCCCGACTCTCGCGTTTCCTGCATTCGCCCTGCCTTCGCTTCGCCAAACTTGAACATTTGCGGGGTTTTTTTTGCGGGTCGTGTGCAGTTTTGGGTCGGGTCGGAGGTTCGGGTGCGGGTTCGGCTGCGTTCGGCTGTTCTCGGAGCTCGTACTCACTCAGTTCGGCTCCGTTCGGCTCAGTTCGGTCCAGAGGCTGCGGCGGCGCTTCGGAGCAGCAGAAAAGTCAAGCTGTGGAAATGCCGCGGCCACTTCCGGTTTGCGCTGGCGCAGTAAAGCGACGGACCCGGGGAAGTTT